GTCCAAATAAAATCTGCATTTAAATATTGTCTTGATGGATCTGTTTTCCATGATTTCTAAACTTCCTTTTCTGATTTCTTTTGATAAAATCACTCTCTGTTTATTGAAGTTCAATGTTGTTTTGATAGGTTGCTGAAACAATTAATAGTTTATTCGAAAATGACCTTTGAAAACTGCCACTATATCACTTAGTCTGAAATTCAGAATTTAGGATTGTAGAGGTTTACATTGAGTAGCAACTTCTCTTTGACCTCAAACCTTTTTCTAGTGAAACTTGTCTGCATTCTTTCTTTGTCCACTGAGGTATATTGTATAGGTCATGGACTCCAAAAATGATTCCACAATCTCTTCATACGACATTTAGAACTTGGAGGGAATGAGAGTTGATTGTCGAAGGTGAGGGTTCCTCCTGGGACTTGCATGTGATTGCCTCCCCTTTGTTATGCCTAAATGTAAAGAATGTATATTCCTTAATGGAGTCTTCCTACTTGTTAAATGTTGTTAGTATTTCAATTGATTACACGAATGAATGCATGTTAATGTGCGACCCGGAAGTGTACTTTATCACAGACGGGATAAATGACTTTGTGCAATGACTGAGAGTTATATGAATTGATTGTGCTAATGTGCTTGAGTGAAAATGTGAATTGTTCGTTCCAATGAGCTAATGTGATTGTTGTACCAATGTGCTAGATTGAAAAGGTGACTGTTGTGTCAATGTGCCAGAATTATGTTGTGAAATGTGTATACTTGTTAAATTGGCAATGTGAAAAAGTGATACGGATAATGATACCTTGGGTGCACTTTATCACCCTAATGGAATGAAATGTATTGATTGATTGTGTTGGATGATTGAATGTTTATGTGTGTTTGTTGCTCGAGTTGACTAACGTCTCTCGAAGCCTGGGCCCTTTGCCTTGGTTTGTGCGAAGCCATGCGTGTCGGAATTGGGTTTGGACGTTATGGTTAGCCGCCTCGGCAAGTGTTGGTACTCATGAGTATCTAGTGGTGGCGCAAGTGTTGGCCATGGGCGAAACAAGGTTGGAATGGTGGCGCTATTGTTGGCCACAAATGTAAGGTTAATGACATGGAATGAATAAAGTAAATGTATAATAAAAGGTTGAATTTGGCCACAAATGTAATGTTAATGAAATGGAATGAATAAAGTAAATGTATAATGAAAAGTTGAATTTGTAGTTTGTAATCCCGTTTTTGTGCCACATAGGTCCTGAACGGCTCCTTACTATGGTTCCCTGTATCCTTCCTTCGTTTGAATTAATGATGGCCCTGGCCGGGTCAATGAATGTTTTATTGAATGTTTCATTGAATTGATATGATGGTAATGCTTAAGTTAATGTATGGAATTATAGATTGATTGTTGCTTTTGAGTTACTTGTAAACAATTGAATGTGCTTGAATTGCATGTGTATAGATTAATAGGTTATGATAGAGAGGACCTCACTGAGCGCTAGCTCATCCCTCTATGTTTTACCTTCCCCGTCCCAGGTTAAAAAGGCGAGCTCGGCAGGGAATTGGATAGAGAATGGAATTCGCCGTGCCTATAGACTCAGTTAGAGTTTTGTAAACTTTGAGCTAATGTATATATTTTGATAGTGCCTCTTTGCAAAGTGTATAGTTATCGTGTAATATTAATAGTTAATAATACTCTCTTCGTTTCATAATTATTGTCCAGTTTTACTAAAATGAAAGATTTTATTTTTGGTCAAACTTAACTATATTTTACCTTAAACAACCGGATATAACCCTACATAAGTAATTGTTTAACCACTAAGATTTTATGGATAATGTTTTTTACTAAAGACAAATGTGTAATCTGATCCATAAAAAGTCAAATTGGACAATAATTGGGACAAATTTTTTTGGGCAAAGTGGACAATAATTATGGGACGGAGGGAGTAATATTTTTGTAATTTGTATCTATTCCACGGCGCCTGGAGCGAGAGATCGCTCGGCAAGCGACCTTAGAGTTTTGAGCTCGTTTTAATTTGAGCTAGAGTTTTGAGCTCGTTTTAATTTGAGCTCGAATTTCAGGGTCGTCACATATGGTTTTTTTTTTATATAATGTTATAAATTAAATATTAAGTCATATACATGAGATCAATTAATTTATCAAATTTATACTTATATATTTAAAAACTTTATAATAATATACATAATAGTTAGAAATTACACATTAATTAATTTATAGGGACTGTTTTATAAGTTATACAAATTAAATAAAAGTAAAATAAAAAATTCAAACACAAAATTGGTGCTCATAAACAGTAAGCCCTTGTGCTTGCAAATTTTACCAAAATAACCATTTGGTGCCATCGTTGGGATGGTCTTATAATGCTCGATGATCCTCCAAATGTATCACCCACCCCAATGGCCCTTTCTCCGGAGTAGAATAAGAAAAATTTGCAATTAATATATAGAATTGTAATAGTGTAAAAAAAAAAAAGGAAAAAGAAGCAAGAGATTGTCTCCACTCTCGTGTCCGGTTTTACACATGGTGATAATAATTTTCGTCATGTTTTGATGGCATTTCGTTAGTAAATTAACAACGTGAGGCATGCAACTCCATCTTTTAGAAGGGCTGTTTTCTTCTTTTTTTTTTTCACTATTAATTTTGTTTATGTGAAAGATATAATCTTTAAAACTTTAAATTACAAGCATTAAAAGTACCTGATTTCAAGGTTGTTTCTTTTTTTTTTTTTTCAAGAACACAATTTTTTTCTTAAATTTATAAATTAAAATGTAAAATATTCTTTTGGGACGTAGTGAGTATATTTCACTGAACATTCATAGTCATTTTTTAAAATTTATGTAATATTAATTTATGAAACTATTGAAAACTAGATTTAATAAGAAATTCTTTAAAAGATTTATTACCTGCCTGATCAATCGAGTTTCTTCATTTTTTTTTTAAAAATATATAATTTAAAGTTATTCTAAAATTAATAAGAATATAGATTATTAATTTATAGAGATTATATTGTTGACAAATGAAAAAAGCAGACATTTCACTTAACTCTTCATCCACAACATTCATGTTTTATTATCATTTGTGTCGGTACGCATATTAGTGCAACTAAAGGGAGAAGACTACAAGTGAAAAAATGGGAATAATGTAATTTACGTGTTAAGCGTGTTTTCTTTTTTTGAGGAAAAAAAAATAAGTATGATCCTACACCGGAATGTGATCGAGTACCGACGTGATGAGATGTTGATGACAAGAACATCTTTGACAATAAGGTTTAACGCAAAATGACAATAAAGTCTAACTTTGAGCATCCAGTGAAATTTAAAATAGTGGTATCAGTTTGGAGTGAATTAATAATAAGGAATTCGAATAGTAAGTTCGGGCTTTCGAAAAAATAATAATACGCCAAAATAAAAGGTCATAATGTATGTGAATGAGATTTAGTTTAGTAATAAGTTCGTCTGAGGTCATATTGTATGTGTACAGTGCCAGAACCAGAACTTTACAGTAGAGAGTGCGAAACAAAATCAATAAACTAAGTGTAAAAAAATGTATTAAAAAAATAAATTTACATTTTTTTCGCATTTAAATTCTATAACAAACTATTGAGAACCGTTTATTACTATTTTACGCATTTTTTCAACTAGAAGTTATAATGTTATTTGGTTCAGATTTACTTTTTAAAGTTTATTTTTTGGCGCAATTATAGAACCAAAAAAATTATAAATTTGACAAATTTTTTGTAAAAATCAAAAAACCCTAGTTCCCTCCATTACATTAAAACCACTACAGTTGAAGAAAAAAAACCAATAAAAGGGAAAAAATTAGTATAATTAACATGAATTGAAATTAAAATGTGTATTCTCAACCATTTAACATTTCTTAAGTTTTTAAATTAAATAATAATTAACCTATAAAAAAATTTATTTGGGCTTTCAATTTTATGTGAATTTGGGTTTTGACTTCAACATCAAATATTATTATGATTAATTTGGGTCTTGACTTGCAATATCACATCATCATTAATTAGTAAATATGAAATTAATATATTTTTATGTAAAATTTTTCTATTTTTACAGAAGATTTAACTATATTGAGCATAGTAAAAAGCATTGCTTCAAAAATTTTTTAATACATTAATTAGTTAAAAGATCTCTAATTTTCATTGTACAGTTTTTGGAGGTCGGAACTGATTGATTATTTTATTTCTCTTTTCTCGGAAAAAAAAGTTCTTTTTTTTAATCCATATGTTTCCTTCTTTTTTTTTTGTAAAGTATTTTTTTGCAAAAGATGTTTTCGAATTGCCTATAGTTGAAGAAGGTAGTTCTCTGTAATAATCGATCTTTTAGGTGGTTTTTTTGTAAAATAAAAACCTCATGGAGATTATTAACAAATTTAACACTTTTAAAAAAAGGGTAACCGCTACAAATCAGTATCACGAAATTGTCGATTCAACAACCAGTTTCCATTAATTATCTCCCATTATGGAAACTTTCTAGTTTCCCTGAATATACTAACATATTCTTCCACGACAAGCAAATGTGCAATTTTGTACTAATATTTCCAATATTCTTTCTGTTTGCTGAATTGATAGTATTAAGGTATTTAACATTAAACTAATCAGTAGTTAGAGCCAACAAACCAGTTCTTAATCACACTAAGTCAGACGTGAAAACGGATTAATACCGCTCCCAGTGGAGTACTCCCAACTATAATTGCCACGCGTCTCTGTCACAATTTGGTCAATTGGCCCTTTGATTTGTTCACAGTACAAAATATCCCAAATCATAGGAACCTTTATGGGTTTGATTGCATAAAGTTGAACAAAAAGTCTCTGGAAAAAAAAAATTGGTTCTTTTTTTCGGTTTTTTTGGCACTTTTTGCAGTTTCAAGTTCTACTCGAAAGTGCCACCAGAAACGTAATTAACTGTAGAGAAAGCGTTACAGAGACTGCCCAGTTTCGCTTTTCTTCCCCACTGCTGGATTGTTGGTCATCATCAACAAGGATTATAAGATGAGGGTTCTGTCGTTCCTGCAAAGGGCTTATCATGATCACCCTCATGTTTCAAAAATTTTGGTTCTTTGCTCCTTGAGGTACCGTTATTTACTTGTCATTGTCAGTTTCTTTCTGGGTTTTTTTTTTTTCGGTTTTTCCTTTTGTAATTTTGTAATTTCTCTTTGAAAATTTTGTTATTTGAGAACCTTGGTTCACTCTGTTTGTCTATTTCATCGTAGTGCATTTTGATTCACTGCTTTGATCAGTGAGCCAACATGTTTTCTAAGTGTCCCGCGTGTTTTTTTTTTTTTTCGTTTTTTTGGTGATCTATGATGCCGGATTCGGTTCCGATTAGTGCTTTTGTGACTGTTTGAGGGTGTTACCGTTTAGTTTTGTGCCTTCTGTTTGGTGTTGGGGGGTGTTGGGCCGTAGTTGCAGGTCTCTGGAAAAGAAAAAAACATTGTTGTAGAATTATAAGCAGGCAGCTTCATAGGCTGATTGTCGGTTGATTAACCAGATATACATGGGTCACTGTGTTCTCTCATACCCGGACTGAATTCTGTGCCTGTTATGCTATACTAACTTAATTTGGAAGTGTGAATTTCAAAATTTAGTGTTTGATTTTCAAGATTTCTGTGTACTTACTGTGTAAATATTTTCATGTTAAACTGTGTTCACTGCTGAGGAAGGAATCTAATTCTGAATGGACTTATTATCATGCCTTGTTTTGGAGAGTGGTATTTTTTGTATGTGAAGGAGAGACCTCAGCCTGCAGAATTACTCTGGATTTCTGAAATGTTTTTGGTGAAACAATAATAATTAGGAGTCAAGTGTCTTTTACTAAAAGTTACTTCACTCGTATTTGTCCAGGTCTGAATAGTATCCTTTCCTACTGTTTATGGGAACTGGTGATCCTCATGTTCATTGTCTTGCAGTAGTGGAGGTCTTCTTGCATACTCGGATTCTCAACCAGATGTCAAAGCCCCTGCAATTGAAGATTGTAATAGTCAGTTACAGACGAAGAAGAAATTGGTGGTGCTTGGAACAGGATGGGCTGCTACAAGCTTTCTGAAAGATCTGGATATCTCTAGCTATGATGTGCAGGTTGTCTCCCCAAGGAATTATTTCGCGTTTACTCCTTTGTTACCAAGTGTGACGTGTGGAACCGTTGAGGCACGGAGCATTGTTGAGCCTGTTAGGAAGATAATTAAAAAGGTTAAGTGTAGAGAATTAACTTTCTTTTGCTGATATCCTCATTTTTTGGGAACACCACATGTTTGGTTGCCAATTTTAGTTATCATTGCTTGAATTATGTCTCTTATTGTTCTTTGTAAACAAGAGATGATAGACTACATGATGTTTTTCCCCATTTTCAAACTTATTGCAGAAACATGGTGAAATTCTATACTGGGAAGCAGAATGCCTGAAGATCGATGCTGCAAATAAAAGAGTGTCCTGCAAGTCTGTTGTCGAAAACTTACAAGGGAAAAATGAGTTTGATCTGGAGTATGATTATTTAATTGTAGCAGTTGGTGCCGAAGTTAATACTTTTAACACTCCTGGGGTGGTGGAGAATTGCCACTTTTTGAAGGTAGCCTTCTCCTATTCGCCAGCTCAAAGCAATTATTTTAGCTATGAGCTCTCTCAGATGATTATTTTCATAAATTCAGAAAACTGGTTTTAAGGCTTTGGTTTCTTCAGTTTCTAAGAATTTTACTTACTACTCTGCAGGAAGTAGAGGATGCACAAGATCTCCGAAGGTCTGTTATTGACTGTTTTGAAAAAGCAGTTCTTCCAGATATAACTGAAGAAGAACGAAGAACAAATCTCCACTTTGTTATTGTCGGTGGGGGTCCGACTGGGGTAGAATTTGCTGCTGAGCTACATGACTTTGTTCATGAGGATTTGACCAACTTATATCCCAGCGTAAAGGATTTAGTCAAAATAACTATGATTCAATCTGGAGACCATATTTTGAATTCGTAAGATATCTCTTGTTTACTTCTGAGTCTTAAGAGTCTTATTATGAGCATGTGGCAGGATTGGAATTCTAAGCAAATACTAATCTCGTAGCAGATTTGAAAAATTTTCTGGCTCATTTTTTCTGAGTTTATGTTCTATATTGATGCAAAAATGTAAGTCTTCAGTGATGCCATTGTGGAGCCATATGACATTGAAACTGCACCAAACGAGTGTTCTGTTTTTTCTGATTCTTTCTGCTGTTTCATGATTTGTTTTTAATTACATTTTTATTACTTTTTTTTGTTGATTTCTCCCTGAACTTTGAATTTTTTCTCGTTATTTTGTCTTTGTGGTTTCATTTGAAGCGCAGAGTCAGAGTACTTCTTTCCTTTCAAATTTATTTTAGAGGCCTTGTGTTTTCCTTCTTTTCCTTCTTTTTTTTTCCCCCTTTCTTTCTGTTCTTGATCTTCTGGGCCACCCATAGTAAATTATCCATTTTAAACCCAGGGACTAATTGTCAGTGATCAACTCTTCATCCTGAACTTTTTTCCCCTGATTCTGTTGCCTCTTGTTAGGATGTTGAGTTGTTCCTCTGCTTTGAACCTTGTACCGTCCAAAAGACACAAAGCTGTTGCTAATCCCGAATATCTAACAACAACTTTTCAATCTGTACAAATAATTAGCCCATTACAAATGGGAAAGAGTTTTTTGTTCATGATTGTGTCTTTTAACTGCCTCAGTTTCTGGCATCTTTCTTGAGTTTCCTCATTTGATGAATTTATCCATCAGAATTCAGTGATGAATGCTTCGTGTTCCATATAGTATCTCACTAATGGCTTCTCAGTTTGCGTTATAGCTATGCACTATAAGACTAAAGTTACCCCTGAACTCAACCTTTGATCCATCTTCTTTAATTGTTTCATGATCCTATCTCAACATCTTCTTCACTTATCACATCTCTGGAATAGGAAATCTCCCATTAGAAATTTCTGGTTCACAAGTTGTGTTCTATATCTAAACTTTACCCACTGGTGTTGCGAAAATAGTGGCTGACATCGACTTTGTACTTGTAACTCTGTAGGTTTGATGAAAGAATTAGCACATTTGCAGAAAAGAAGTTCACAAGAGATGGCATCGAAGTTTTGACTGGGCGTCGGGTCGTGAATGTTTCAGATAAAATGATAAACATGAGAATGAAGTTGACTGGCGAGGATGTTTCCATGCCTCATGGTCTGGTTGTGTGGTCGACAGGGATCGGCACTCGTCCTGTTATTAGGGATTTTATGGAACAAGTTGGCCAGGTACACTACTGTTTTTATTTTTTTTATGGTTAGCGTCACTTCAGATTTCAGACACCACTTAATTGGTTGTGTCTCTAGTGTGATTTACACTTTGATGATATCTAATCACTGATATAGTTTTCACAATATCTGCTTATTGACAGGCCAATAGACGTGCTCTAGCAACTGATGAATGGCTACGAGTCAAGGGATGTGAAGCTTCTGTGTACGCTCTTGGTGATTGTGCTACTGTAGATCAAAAACAGATCAGGGTATAGTATCCTCTCTGGTTTTGCAATTCTTTGTTTGTGTTATATTCTTTTTTTTTTTTTCTTAGTACACTTAAATTTCAACTATGCTTTGGTGTAGTAGATGTACAAGCTAGCATTTTGGTGTTTAAGAGTTGGACTGTTTCCCAGGTCCACTACCTGGGATCAGGTCCTCCTTGATTTTGCACTTTGTTAGTAATGGTTTAGTTTGCTGACAAATTTGAAAGCGACAATAATGGAATATTGGTTGAAATAAAAAGAACAGGAAATTGAGTACTTTTATCAAAGTAGACGTCTACTATCAATTGCAGATTAGTCCATGCAAAGGGAAAAGGTGGTAGGAATTTGATTGTGATCACCAGGTTTAGTCTCCCCTGAACATATGAATTGCTTTCCTTGAAATCATTTGGTGTTTTGCTGCTTATGACTGGTTGAATTGATCTAATGCTCACTCTCTAACTCATCAGTTTCAACTGTTGTTCCTCAGGAAGATATCTCGGAAATTTTCAAAGCAGCAGACAAAGATAATTCTGGAACACTCACACCTGAAGAATTAAAGGATGTGATTGAGGATATTATGATTAGGTATCCCCAAGTAGAACTTTATCTGAAAAGCAAGCATATGTTGGATATAATAGACTTGTGGAAGGACTCTGAGGGAAATGATAAAGTAGAGATAGATATTGAAAGGTTTAAGTTAGCTCTGTGTCATGTTGACTCACAGATGAAAAGCCTTCCTGCCACTGCACAGGTACTTGAATTTTTTCATGCTTATGAAAATTAATGTGATGTGGTTTCTTATCGATCTTGTTTTTGGCGCAATAGGTCGCTGCTCAACAAGGTGCATATCTTGCTAGGTGCTTTAACCTTTGGGAAAAATGTAGAAGTAATCCAGAAGGTCCTCGCCGCTTCAGGAGTGGTGGGCGCCATGAGTTTCGTCCTTTTCAGTATGTCCTGTCCACGCTCTTCTTTTCTTTTCTTTTTTTACTTTTAATCGTAGATGAATCAACACTCGTGTCAAGTGATCTGTCATAGTTAGATGTCATACAGTTTTTTTTTTCTTTGTTCCATTCTATCTATCCTGTTGCCACTGCCGTTGGCTTGGCTGAAAATTATTGCTTATTTACCTGAAGATAATTTGCACCATTGTATCAATGAACAAGATCCTCCAAATGCTAACATCTCATTGTGTGTAAATACCAGGTATAGGCATTTTGGGCAATTCGCTCCGTTAGGTGGAGAGCAAGCTGCAGCTGAACTTCCTGGAGACTGGGTTTCTATGGGTCGTAGTACGCAGTGGCTGTGGTATTCTGTCTATGCAAGGTTAGAATCATTTCCTTCATGTATGCACTATAACATTTCCGAACTTTCCTCATCGGATTCTGATACCCTGTTTAAAAAAATACAGCAAGCAAGTCAGCTGGCGGACGCGAGTGCTAGTGGTCTTTGATTGGACAAGGAGATACATTTTTGGGAGAGATTCAAGCCGAATTTGATGTCAGGCGTGTCAGTTCTTTATGTCATACCTCGTCTTTCTTTGACAGCCTCTCTTTGCACAGTGTTGGTCGAAACGTTTTGTACGCCTTCTTGTGTACATCCTCCCTTGAACCAATCCTTGCCACATCATCTGTCATCCATCTCTCAGTTAGGCTTGCTGCACGCTTTTCGTATTATGTAAGTACTGTAGTTGAAATCACGGTATCGGCGGGCTTTTTGTGCAGTTTGCATTTCGTTGAGAGGGTGGTTTTTGGTTCAATTTCCTCAAACAGTTGAAAACATTTGCTTGCAAAAATGAAGTTAGGATTATTAAAGGAATCATACAGGTTTTATTTCCCGGTTTGCTAACAGTTTGCATCGCGCAGAATTTCTGCCTTTTACTCGCACAAATGCCTCTCCTTTCTAAAAGAAAAATACTAATCTATCCAGTTCTATTATAAGGTATTTTGATTTGTCCTAAATTCTATAATAAGGTATTTTGAAAATGTATTTGTAAGATTTTTTTCTTAATTGGAGATACATAAATTCTAGGACAAATTCAAATACCTTATAATAAAGATTAGAGGGAGTAGAACAGAAATTTACAAAAAATGAGCCGAGTCTGCAAATTTTTTATAAGTCGTGTTCTAGTTCTACCATTAATCAACTTTTCTTTAAGGCTTGTTTGGTTTGTCTTGGATTTTAGGTGGAAATGTAATCTTTTTTTCTTATTTTTAAATTTTCATGTTTGTTTGGTTTAAGAAAGTAATCATTTTTTTAATTATTTAAATTCCAATATTTGTTTAGTTATAGGAAAGTAAAAAGATTCCCAAAGTCAAAGAAAGTCGAGGAAAATAAGTGCAAGATTACAAGATTGTGATTACACACCTAAAAACTGTGCCTGTTTAGTTCATAGGAAAGGAAAGTATTTGAGGAATATGATTGCTTGGAATTTAATGACAAGGATAGTAAAGTAAAATAAAACACTTTCTTTTGTTTGAGTGTTAAAAAGAATGTTGCGAGGAATATAATAGACATTCCTAATGTAGTGTTTGGATGGTATATGAATTTTTTGGAATATAATATCTAACCTATTAATTTGTCAAATTTACCCTTTCTTTATTATGGAAAGAATTTTTTTTTTTTCACCTGTCACCCTCCCTCATATGTATTAGTTATTTTCTACATATATAAACGTCAAAACTTTCAAAAAAAAAAAAAAACAAATTTTATAACATTATTATTTTATTATTAAACAAGCATAATTATTCAATCATTTCAAAAACAAAAAAATCTTAACATAATTATTCAATCATTCAACCATTGTTTCTTAAGTAGAACAAGAAATTAATATGAATTTTCTAATGATAAATTCAAATGAAAAAATAAAAACAATTAAAATCAACTTCTAGCGATTATTTCTATTTTGCCTCCATTGATTAAACATTTGATTGGCTAAATTTTGCCTCCAGTTTGTCCATTCTTCTGTTGGTTCAACTGTCGAGATCACATCACCATCAAATTCAAACTCTTCTTGACCATTAAACTCAAACTCATCACCTTCAAAAGGATCAATCGGCATATTTAACCTTATATGATTTTGAAGAAGACAACATGCCATAATAATTCTACCCTGATTCTTAATTGGATAAAAATTTGGGTGTCTAATAATCTCCCAATGCATTTTAAGCATTCCAAAACATCTCTCAATAACATTCCTAGCTGATGAATGCTTCATATTGAAAAACTCCTCTGGAGTATTTGGTTGACGTCTTGTTCTCCACTCACACAGATGATATCTTTGGCCTCTAAATGGGGCTAGAAATCCCTTGCCATTAGTATATCCAGCATCAGCAAGATAGTAATATCCTAGAAAGAAGGAAATTAATTTTAATAGTGTAAAAGTATATTAAAATAATTAAATAACTTTATGATTAGTGTAAAAATATATTAAAATAATAGTGTAAAAGTATATTAAAATAATTAAAGGAACCTATCAAATCACTTCTACTTACCATCATATATTGGCAATTCGTTTCTTCTACTTAAAGCATCTCTTAAAACCCTACCATCAGCAGCTGAACCTTCTCAACTGGGAAGAACGTAAATAAATTGTAAGTTTTGAGAACATACTCCTAAAACGTTTGTAGCGATATCACTCTTCTTGTTACTTTATCGAGGTTTATCAATTTCAGCTACCTTGACTTCGACATAAGTACCATCAATAGCTCCTATACAAATCTGAAAAATCAACCATAATTAATTTTTTATAATAATATTTTAGTAGTAATAAATAATTAAATAATTACAAATTCAAATTTACCTTAAACCATTTCCACTTTTCATCAGTGCAATCTTCAAGCACAGGCGTAGGAGTTGCTACAATTAACTTTGAAGTCTAATCACCGCTTTTAAAACTTTGTTGAAAATTCTACTAACAGTTTCACCGGATCGCTGAAAATTCAATCCTATAGCACGATTTTTCTGGTCACGTGCGAGTATGTGCAAGAACATAGCTACTTGTTCATCTACAGTTGTATTTCTAGTATCTCGAAGTCCTCTAGTTATACGAAGCATCATAACTAATTTTCTAAAGGTAAACATGTCCATACGTGTTGCATTATGACACCTTATATCACTAGAATATATTACCCTGTGGATATAACGTGACCTATCGTACTCATCAACCAAATAAAGAGCTTTTAAATAGTATTTTCGATAATGGTGTGTGACAATGATATATACCACATTTAGCATGATCCTTAATATGTTCATTCGTTGTCGTCGCCTATAAATCATAAGATAGAGATATTTTCTCACGGCAGTTAAATCCAGCCTATCCATCTGAATGAATCACCTATTATGAAAATAGTAACAATATTAAAAAGGCACAAAAAATACACATAAAATTTGAAGTCACCATTTATACATAAAACTCAAATCTCCAATGGGTTTTGTCATAAAATTGTTAAAAAAATACGAAAGAACAAATAGAATAGAGGAAACGATATTAGACGTCAAAGCATTATGAACATTAAAAAAAAAAAGAAGAAAGAATGGAGAGTTAGGCATCAATCTATTTTAAATTCATTCCCCTCACTTGAAAATGTCCACAAAACAAAAAACAAAAAAAAGCTAAAAAACAAAACAAAACCTACACTCCCAAACAAAGAAGGCCTTCAACTTCGACTACTGGTGCACAATGCTAGGCTGATCAAATAAAAGGACAAATCAAAGCCAAAGGTGTTAAAAGTAAGTAATAGATAGAGCTGAAGACACACAACCCTTGAGTCCCACTAAAGAAGTTGCAAAGCCCAGCAAAACGGAGACCCTCCAAACTATGGTTTTAGTTTCAGTGGGATAAACAGGTTGAGTAAATAAGAGTTCTATTAAAAAAGTACTAGAGGAAAAGATCCGTGCAAAGGAAATTCAGAAACTGAAATCAAAATGTAGCAGAAGGCTTGATGAAGGCAAATCCTAAGGCTGAACTGAAGAAAATACTAACAACTACGGCAAAATCTCCGTAACTTTGTCGAAATAAAGCTCTCTGGTAGGAGAAAGTAAAGAAGAGAGACACGTTTGGATAAGAAATTACCGCAAAACTGGCATGTCCAAGGAAACAACGGATAGGTTCTTTGATGACAATGCCAAAAAATAAATCAACAAATAATAGTGGAAAGAATGAACATGAGAAGAACATCCGCCATGTATTTAAAATTGCAGCCACAAAATATATATATATATATATATATATATATATATATAGTTGCAATAAGTTATCATGGCATGATTCCAAAGAATTTAGAACCAATCACATAGATGGAAAGAGATACAATACGTGTCTCATATATATCAAATAAACAATCAAAATTCAAAGCCAATCATGTACCGTTAACGGGAGGAAAAACATAAAAATAAATAAAAAAAAAGTAAGAGCAATAGCAATAGCAAGATGAAGAATAAAACAAAATCTTGAACTAAATTCACAAAGGGGTTTTAAAAGAACAAAGAATCACCACCAAAGCTTCCTTACTGTAACAATCACCAAAAAAAAAGTAGCTAATCAGTATTTTACTAATAAAAAGAAAACATATTAATTAAAGCATATGAAAGGGAGAACTTCGAAATTTACCGGAGACAAATGAATAGAGCATCGAACAGCTGAGGGAGGAAAAAGTGATTGGAAGAAAAGAAAAGAAGAAGAAGAATAGAGAAGCGAGTAGGAAACAGAGAAGTGATGGGAGTTCTGAGCGATGGAGCAAATAAATAAATAGGGTAAGATTCATATGGAACAAAATCGCGTTCTTTTTTATTAATTTCCGTCGGAAAGGAAACAAAATAACAAATTGAGATACGGATTATATTTCCCAATAAATCATAAATTTTTTCCAGAAATCGGGAAGTTAGATTCTTTTCCAAACGTGTTAAAAACGGTTCCGAACACTGTAATTTCTAGATTCCCAGAATTGTGTTACTTTCCCCCAAATAATCCGGGAACCAAACAGGGCCTTATTCTTTTTATTTTCCTTTGGATTCTAAATTTTTATACATTTTTTTATGTCTAATCTTCATACCATTTTTTTATCATCCTAATTATTTATTTTTTAATTTACTCATGTTTTATTTTTAAATTGACTCTTATTTGATCAGATAAATTAGTGACTATAATTAATTTATATTAACCAATATAAAATTATCTATAAATTAGTTTTGATTTAAAAAATGTATTTTTATTTTTTTAATTTTAAAATTACCATAATATTATAATATCAAAATTCTCAATTTGAAAAAATTAACAAATAATTTATTTATTAATTAAATGATTTAATTTAAAAGAGCTTACATTGAGTTTGAAAAAATTAACTTAGTCTAATTTAGTTTGCATATGAATCATAATGATAAGTCTTTTTTTCTTGTAATGATATTTATAATAATTAGCAAACAAAAAATGATCTTTTTACATTATTAGTTATTAATAATTAAAATAATTGATATGGCCACATAAAACTAGACTATTTATCAAAATAATTTTTTTTTTGAAAAAAAGGAATTATTGATCGTTCATGTATAAATGTTAGATAAATAAATTTATAATTTTTTAACAAAGAAAATCAAGTTTCATTAAATAACTTGTAATATAAAAATGGCTATGGTAAATATATCTAACGTCAAAATTTAAGCCGATCATATTTAATAAAATTTTAACTTGATTCATCTAGCTAAAAATTATATAACTTTTGTTAGATTATATAATTATACACCTACACACATATATTTAATGTTGTTCGTGTAGTTAGATTTTGAACAGATAGTTTCAAGATTTTGAAATGAAATTCAAAACCGGCATGTTGCAGGTTTATTGGCGACAAAAAAAGATTAAAAAAAATCTCACTTTCAAGCCTATTTTCTAAACATGTAAACAAACATAGAAAAATATTTAGATTCTCCAGAATCATATTTTTAGGAATCATAAAGTAAAGTAAATATTAATTTTCCTTTGAATTAAAATATCAGGAATGTTTATTTTACTTTCTTCAACTTTCCAAGCAACCAAACATGCCCAAAATGATTATTAAAATGAGATATAAGATGTAAAGTAATATATTTTTTTTAAACTCATGCAATGTATACTCCATAATTTTCCCCTTTTCCCTTGAACATTGCAATAATGCAATTACAGTAATAAAGTGGTTGAAAAGAACAAAATATTGTCCCAACATACCAGTTATCCGCCTGTGTGGAAAACACTTTTGTTTTGATTTTCGTTTATACTATTTCAGAAGTGATTTAATTATGTTGGATAGAACGAAAATTAATTACGTATGTTTTAATTTTCGTTTTTATTTCAGAAATGATATTTTGGATAGAACTCAGGATCATTCGTTACTATTTTCACCCCCTCGTCACTTCCGGGGTATTCTTGCCTGCCGGTGGTCGTTCGGCTAACTTCCGGCCAAACTGGTTGGAATCTAACTGGGCCAGGCGACTGAATTGACTATTTTGTGGTTTTTAATTTTATTTCAATTTCAAAAGGTTTCTTTCCCCACATTTGTATGGCGCGTCTACGTCATTTATACGATTATCTGGTGATAATAGGAATTTCAATTTACTTTTCCTTTTTCCTTTTAGATTATTAGCTACGGAGGCCAAAAAAATATTGATACAACCAAACATTTATTATTCCATAGTCTTGACCATCTTCTCGGTAAGAACATTTATTAAAACATTTATAGAAGAAATTTCAGTTGACACGCAACTTAATCGTATAAAATACGTAATCGTTTCAGGAAATTTCAAAACATAACAAAGTGTATATATTACATGCAATATTCAAACATGTAATCGTTGAGTTATGTCCAAATAAACACGAAAAAGAATGTACATGACTTTTAGTCATGCAATTTAAAAAGAAGTAATACACCCTCCCCCAAATAACAGAATGAATTACAATAATGGCAAATCCTAGACCTTATCTCGATTCTAAAACGCGTATGACTTCTATTACAAAATAATTGTCTAATTTAGATTTTTTTTTTCAGTATAATTTATATTTAAAGTAAAAAATCTAAACGGAAGAATCGTCTTTGTTTTTTTAGAAATTTCAATTGGATTAAAATAAAATAACTAAAAGTTTACATGAGGCAGGGAGTACAAGAGAACACTCCAAATCGATCAAGATTCACAATCAGAATGCTACCAAATCAGTCACAGTAGGTATGTTCGAAGTGAGGCTGCGGTCGTTGATGGCATCAAGGATGAGGATCAGAGACACCACGAATGCATAATCAACATTTGGATTTACAGTCACCATGAATGTGTCCTTCCCAAGAAGGAAACTTGAAGCGTTGTCTTTCTTGTTCATCTGCAGTTAAATATAAATAACACATACTATTACTTTATTTAGGGCAAAGGAAGGGTGCATATAGAGATGTGTTACTATGACTCTGATTGTGGGATTGAACGGACATGAAATTATTAGATGAGGATATATATACACAATATGTGAATGCCTTTGTAGTTTGTACACTTACTTGAGCCGCTATGGTGGCAGTTTCACCGACATAAACTTTGCAGGCATCATCTGACCAACTTCCTTCAACCCTAAAATCACAGGAATCCTCAGACATACGGTTGCCTAAGTACACATGCAACTTAGTTTTCAGTTGGATCATGGACGAGGTTTTTGCACTGAATATCAAATCCTTAGGGTGGGTGCTTGCCCCTCTGAACACTTGCCATCTACTGTACGCTGAGAATATCTGCAAAAAAATCCATGCATCATGCATGCAACTCTGATTAGATTACTCTATCGGTCCGTCACAAAATTAGAGTACGTACTTCGTTGAACTAAATATTATAACGACGAATTTCATACAGAGAACGAAGTAACAACTGAAAGTGGACTTGACCTTATTGTTAAGAGTAAGGATAGGTGTTCCCGCAGCATCCAAGAGAACCCGTTTGTCATGAGTACTCAAGAGTTTGCCTTTGACTTTAAACATGGTATTCTTTTCAATATCTGTCACCTTGAAATCATTCGTCAGAGTCATGAGTTTTCTAACAATCAACAAGTCAACGGGTCGAGGAAGACAATATTGTGGCCCGACTACTGGGATCGGGTAAGTTAATACTGCCTGACCCGGACGTCCTACTGGGACGATCAATGGCGGTGCCGGCATTTTATAAACGGGTGGATAAGCCGGTGGATAATACATGGGTTGGACCGGGTATGGACTTACAGGAAGAGCATAGGGTGTACTGGTTTCTACGATGGTTGGGTGAGTGTAAGGTTGGACTGCCGAAGGTGGTGGTGGGGCGGTAGGCGGGTAAAATGGTTGGTTTCCGGGTGGATAATAGGGATAGGCCGCCATGGAGCTCCGGAAAGAAGCTTAGCCGATGAATGTTATGGAATATGGACTAAAGCAATACGGTGGTGATATTTTTGGTTGGATTTGTCTAAGATTTATGTGCTATATTTATAGGTGTCATCCAGAGGACCCCATTCTTTCTTCTTCTTTTTTTTTTTTTTTTTCTAATCAACATTGACTTCATTTGAGTAGTTTGTCAGACGATAGCTTGGGAGAGAAACATTTTTGGTGAATTATAATTTACATGTGAGCTTTAGTTTGTTAACTGACACGGTTTTTGATTCACCGCAAGAAGTAAACCCATGGTGTGCATTTCGATGGAGCCTCCCGAACTCATGAGATCACCTTGTTAATCAGCATTTTTACAAGTGGAAGAATGATACTCTAGGAGTAGCTATGAAAGCCTCATGGTGTGCATCTATCTATTTTCTATGAAGGGCAAGAAATAGGTTCATCTTTCAGAAAGAATCAGCGGTCGAGTCGAAGGTAATACAGCAGGTTCTGTTTCACCTCAAGATAAGATATGTGTCAATCCAAAGAGTTTCTAATTCTCCAAAAATTATAGCTTGGTGTAATAGGTTACACCTTAGTCCACTAGTTGTAAGTAAATGGCGCCAGAGTTAATCTCTCTCTAGTACGAATCTTGTTGCTTAATAGATGTTTTTGGGCATAGAAGAAAGTTTTGTACGATAAACTCTTTATACTGGTAATGAAATTAACCTTCTTACCAAAAAAACCCATGACTAAAATTATAATATGTCTCAATGACAGCGTAAATTTAGTTTATTTTCAAATAATGTATCTTTTATTATTATTATTATTATTATTATTATTATTATTATTATTATTATTATTTTCTTTTTCTTTTAGAGCTAGCTAAGTACGAAATCAACCACTTGTGTACATGGTGTGAACTCAATTCTTCATTGATTTTGTCAATAATCTTTTGAGAACTCATTATGTATGTAATCACTAACTCAAATTCTTAACGCGTTTTCTTTTTTTTTTTTTTTTTCCAATTCTTAACTAGGGGAAGTGGCACTTGCTAAAATTTTCGAGTGGTATCCATCGCGGTTTTTTTGAATAAATATGTTGCATGTTCCTAAGTGTAAGAAATTTTTTTACTGTGTTTCGTAGCAGTCGGTTTTTAATTTACTTGAACTATTTTAATTAACAGATAAACGGACCAAAAATTGGAAAATGTTTGACAGAAATTAATGATAGACTTTCAGCGAGTCAATTCCTCAGACCTTATTGGCTAACTATTAACACCATCAAAATATTTCTTGCAAGTGAAACAATGATAGACTTCAATAATTTTTTTATCTTCAAGCAAAGAAAGAAAACCATTTCATTTCTACCATAATTAACATCATATTTATAAGATTGCATTGTGTGTGTGTGTGTGTGTGTGTGTTGTGAGAATAAACCTTGGGGGAAGAGGTATAGAAGAATGATCTAATAAAAAAACGATCTAGATTTTGTTTTTAAGATAATGTCTAACAAATAAAATAATTTTTACAAATATATGCAACCAACCACGCATATGGATTGACTGAATAAGGTTTATTATCGCCTCTTTTGTTGTAACCAAAAAAAAAAAAAGGATTTATTATGAGATGCAATTGTTTTTTTTTCCTGGAAAAATTCAATTTCATTGAAAGAAGACGTGTTACAAACAGCGTAAAGGGATAATTTGTCGCGTTAAACTAGTTAGCAAAAAGACTAGCATTTATTCACTTAAATACATCAAATTGGCTATGTGATGCAATCGTTAACTCGTTGAATCAGGTTAATTATATTTGATTCGGAACAAACAGCAAACAGAGTAATAGACTCGGTCTTTATTTATCGGTCAACTTGATCACTAGTCGGAAGTCGCAACTGGTAAAAATTATACCCCTAAGAATTCCTCTTATTTGCTAAAATCTGTACTTTTATTTGTCAAAATTTTTAAAAAGTTTTGTTTATCTGTTGGTTAAAACCTATGTTTTCAAAACTGAACCGAAGAGTGAACCGCTAACATGACCGGGTTGATGAGTTAATCGGATTGACCGGTTAGCTCGTTCCTTGAAATCGGTAAAAAATCGGTTAAAATAATATTAAAAAATATATTAATTTTTAAAAAATATTTATCAAAAATAGGTTTAACCGGTACCGATTTCTGGTCAAACTGCGATTTTACCCGAGTTTGACTGGGTTTTTAAAATCCAGTTCATTTTAGAAACAGGATCGATAAAGCTTCTGATTCTTAAGTTAACTGGTTCGACCTTCCGGTCCAGTCCGATTTTGAAAATATGGGTTAAAACTAGTGTACCATGAAACTGACAAGTGACTACGCACAGTAGCAACTAGCAAGTGAGTGTAGGGAAAATATGTCACAATTAAAGGAGGTAAGCCAACTAAAAAATTGAACACTGATGGCTGTTTTAATCGGCACACAGCTATAGCATATGCAGCTGGGTTGTTGTGGGATGAACATGATCTGGCTAGAGGCTTTGCAATGAATATTGGTTTTTTATAATAACTGGTGCTATGTTATGAGACTCATATTTTTTAAGATTCATCGGGAGGAGTTAAACCGTGACTGAAATATAATTTAGTCGTTACTTACTTACATATTATAATTTTTTAATCAAGTAGTATTCTTAATTCGTAATTCATTTATTATTTATCGTAAAACACATATATTTTTATAGAAAATAGGACCATTTGTTGAATTATACTAAAAACAAAACGTAAATATAAATAGAATTACATAGAAAAGTTAATATGGTCCGCCTTACAAGAATAATACGAATAAATCGATATAACAAGATACGATTAACCGATCAAATCAGTCCCAGTAGATATGTTTGAAGTGATGATTGAGTCCAGGATGAGAATGAGAGACACCATGAATGCATAATCAAAATCTATATTACTTAATTAAAGCAGCAAACAAAAAAGACATGTATTAGCACCACAATGAAAATTTTCCTGCTAAAAGCCATTTTAGTACAAAATCATTTTTGACACATAACACTCTAACTAATCAGAAAAAAAGATAGAATAGATAAATACATAAATCCCTTAATTATAGCTACATAAAAATATCTTAATTATAGGTATATACTAATCCTTTAAAACAACAATATTTAGTTGATAAAATCAAATACTAGGAAATCCCCTTAAATCAAGTGAAACAACAGTAATGTCTTCCCAATCTCCAATTTCAAAGAATCTCTTCCATTCCGCTCCTCTCTCACACCCGAGCCTTTAAATCAATTACTTAAAATCTGACATCAATTATCAATTCATCTCTTTCTACAATAGAGAAAAAATAAGTTGTAATGAAAGAAATTTGATTTTTTAAGGATGATTTTTTTTATTCTTTTGTTGTAGATATTGGTTTATGATTTATGTAAAACCAGGCATAAGTAAACTGTTATAAATTAAATGTTGTAAATCTGGGTATAGATTTATGTGTAATAGCTCACTTTCTGTCCTTTTAATCGATTTTTTATTCTTCTAATTTTTTTTATTCTTACAAGAATGATTCGTATTTTTTATTTAATCAATTTAAAAATACAGGCGACACCCCGGCGTTCGCCCGGGACAAGCATTTAGTTGAATTTATAGTGGCAATGAATGTGTCCTCCCTAGAAAGAAACTTTTAGCATATTGTCTTTCTTGTTCATCTGCAGTGAATAATCAGTAATGACACTCTATGATTTATTGGGAAAAGAAGAGAAGATAGAATTCAACCACTAGTAATTTCTTTGTAGTAATAAATTTTAGAGGGGTAAAATTCATGTTTAGAACATAAAAACAACTGAATTTTATTAAAATGCAACCTGTTTTTATTTGGCAAAATTAATAAAAGGACTAAAATTTAGCCAAACAGGCAGCTGATGGAGTAAACTCTATAAAACAAGTGGCATTATTAAATAATATATACCCTATATCAGGCATTTGAACATAATATGATCTAACTTCTTTTTATTCTGTAATAGATATTTATGACGCTCAGAAACTATTTTATGGTAACCAAAACTAGATGTTACCTGTAAGATGTTTTGGGTTAACTGCAATATTATTATTAATTACTTATTTAAATATTATCATGTGCATAAATTATAATTTGTGAAACAAAAGTTATGAAATTATTCAATAATAAATGGGAATATGATTACATTACACATGAAAATGATTAATTTTTCACGCCCACAATAAGCCCAAAATACCTACGGTACTATACCAATTTGTCCCCAAAAAAAATAATAAATAAAAAACTTTGACACATGAACTGAAGTAATTTTGATGAAACCTCAAATATGATTTACAGAATACCAAAAAAGAAAATTGAAAATTAAACCCAAAAAATTTACAGAATACCAAAACAAAGAAAAAAAAACTCAAATATGATTTCCTCTGTTCTACACAAATAAAATAGTCTACTTTGCAATTTAAAAATTTTCTTATTTTTGGTACTATTAACAAACTACAATGTGAATTATTTTTGTTGGAAGGAGATATTTATTATGCTAGTTTCTTTAATGTTTGTTCTCTTCATGGATTGATCTCCGTATTCATCACCCTGCTAACGGGTTTAATCATCTCCGATCTATTTGGTGGTAGTCAATTAATCCAGTTGACTGGACCATTCATTTAAAATCTATCCAATAAAAATGAGGCACGCCATATGTGATCATGGACTTGCAACTCTATAACAAAACTTAATTTATTGCTTGTTCATCCTCTTATTTTATTATTATTTTTTTTTTTGTGTTTTCAAAGATGACTAGTAATAGTAACAAGTGCTTAAAAGGAACAAGCCATAAACCATTTCCATGAAAACCAGAAAATTTCATCATTTTATTAATTGATGTTGTGGTTTTCCTTCTTTCCCTATCCTGTATTGACAATTTCAGCAGCACAACCAAATTGAGCATCATTCATCTTTAGGCCTGGATTAATCTTCATCCTAATGTTCTGCTATTTCCACAAGCTCCGCAACAAGT